GTGTGCTGTGACCTTCAGGGTAGAGGTGTGGGAGTTCAGAGAGCAGAGGAAAGGAGGCAGGAGAGGAGGAAAACAAAAAGTCCAGAAAACTGGTGAAAATGTTACGGATAAAGATGCATAAATCTATGAGCTGTTTTATGTTTTGCTTTCTGTGGCATTGATTTTACAATTGAGCCAGTTATGCATACAGGTGGAACTCGAAAACTTAGAATTTAATGAAAATGTTCATTTATATCAGTAATTCAGCTTAGAGTGAGAGACTCTCTTAAGCAGGGGTCCTCAGCTGAATTTGTTCAGTGATTGGCCACTAGAATATTCCACCTCAGCCGGCAGCCCACATATTGAGCACATGATGAGTTTGTACTCCCTGTGAGACGGAAAATATCAAACCGGTTAGATTTTCACCTCAACGTCTTGTGAGGCAGAAAACTATGTGAAAATTAGGCACACACAGCGAGGTATCTGCTGAGCAAACAGTCATTCGAGGTCTGGCGGGCTGGATGTGGCCCGCGGGCCACCAGTTGAGGTTCACTGCTCTAAAGGCTCAGGGACCCTTACAAGTGTTTTTGATGCATTAGCTGACACTTTGAGTCTAGAACATTGAACCTTTTCACAATATTCTAATTGTCTGACATTTTGAATGTGGAGTTTTGTAAGCTGTGAGCCATAATCATCACAATTATAACAAATAAAGGCTTAAAATATCTGGCTTTGCATCTAATGAGTCTGTCTCATATATTAGTTTCACTGAAATAAATGAATTTTTGCACCATATTCTAGGGTTTTTCAGTTTCACCTGAAATTTTTGGCAAAGACAAAAAAAATACTATGTGAACTAACAGACAAAGGATTCAATCCATTTTAGAGAAACACCTCAGTGACACAGCAGCACATCTGCTAATCCCCATCCATTCACTTCAGCATGTCCTTAAACTAACAAGCAGTTTAACATAATCTGCTTTAAACCTGTCTGTTCAGTCCTATTCGTCGGTGCATTTACATAGCAATCCTTTCTGCCTGAATGCTCCACAGAACAAGAGAGACACTGTGTAAGGGTTGTCAAGGTGCAGAAGTGGGTGAGTTAGGTGCAAAACATTCAACATAGTTTCTTTACCAAAGAGCTATTTGCTGTGTATAATATTTAGCCTGACAATAGCGCATACAGCGGTGCAAAGAGGGAAACGTGTTTCTGAGTTGGGTTTCTCTTGGACTGAGCTACAAGAGACAAACTGCTGTCAATTCTTTGAACAAACCGCCAAAAATATGTAAAGGGTATAATAGTTGGAAGCAACTGGGTAATTTATTAGAAACTTAAAAGGAGAAAAATCCAGAAAACATCAGAGTGACGATTTTCAAATAACAATCTCAACAGGAAGTCGTGATTTTGGTCCACTGAAACTCGAACTTGCAACTCGCTCATGAGTCAACTACTGATAAAACAAAGTGAGAAGAAAGGCTGTTAATGGAAAAGAAGTGTCACTTTCACCTCCCATCTCCACACTGATTGTTTTGGTATTGTCCTCAAAGATGCTGAAAAAGAATTTCTAGTTGAGTAAGACATGCCATTGCAAGGGAGGTACATCAAGTGCCATGCATAGCAAACCCCTATGGCATCCATGCTTGCCATCCAGACATGAGTATGGGAAACTTTTTACATCCCTCCCTTGGCCCCTGTCAGCTTGCATCAAGTCTCAATGACTGGTATCACCTAAACCTTGGGTCATCATTCGATAAGTAGGCTTCCATTAACACCAGCACACAGACAGCTGCATTTGGACCGGGGCCATAACCAGTAGTGTTTAATGGATGGCACAGTAGTATTCAGAAATGGATCTTGTTTCAACATTACGATTACCATGTGGTAATGTCAACAGAAGAACTAGTCTTACCAATGTTGTTGAGAGATGCACTTGGCATCATAGTCAGTGCATCTAGGTCAGGGGTGCCCAATCCTGGTCCTGGAGGGTCGGTATCCTGCATGTTTTAGTTTGAACTCTGTTTCAATCAGCAGCTAATTAACATACTTCTGCAGAGCCTGATGAGCTGCTGCACAGGTGTTTCAACCACTGAATCAAGTCTGTTGGAGCAGAAAAACCACAAAACCTGCTGGATACCGGCCCTCCAGGACCAGGATTGGGCACCCCTGATCTAGGTTGATCTAAACTGATCTACAGTAATAAACTTACATGTCGGCTTTCTTCTGGTTAGCCCGGGGGTCGGCAACCCGCGACTCTGGAGCCGCATGCGACTCTTCCATCCATATGATGCGGCTCTCTGTGCTTGTAAAATAATGAATGGATATTTAAATAAAATGCTTTATATTTTACTGCATTTATTTTACATCTGTATGCCAATTCTAAATGTAAAGATTGTCTGCGTAAACCTGAACAGTTCCAACCCGGTCTTACTGTGAGATCGGGTTGGCGCGTCACGCTTGTGCGTAATCATATCGGCGCATTCTGAGCTGAAGAGGATGTGAGATTCTGGGATTCTCCTCAGACAGCTCCTGGATGTGTCGGCACATTGGAGACAGGAACAAGCGCTATTCAGCCAAAGTTTCATAATCAGGGAACATTTTCTAAGTGACAAGTCTCGCTTCAGTCGGAGGAATCTTCCCGCATGCGCTCTGGTTCTGCGGCGCGCTCCAAGCCCCTCTCCACATCTTCAGCTCGCTGTGCACCGTACGTACGCACTGACAGTGAGCTGCGCTGAGCAGTGTCCAGCTCAGATGTTCAGATGGGAATCTTTTCTTGAGTGATTTTGCTACATCTGCGATGTGCGAAACGAATAAAATGTCACTTCGTCTGCATGCGTCGGGGTAATTCTTTCTATTCTTTCTCCGTCACAATAAACGGTCAAATACGGAAACTATCCGGTCAACACAAGTCCTGCTTTTAACTG